TACTGTTATCCAATCCGACGCGAGTTGTCCAAATATAAAAAAATAAGACTCCAACGTCTTCCGTCTGAAGTTCAGCTGAAATGTGGCTTTTTTCAAATTCCTGAAAATGGTGCACCAGTGCTTTTTGTCCCCTGAGTGCAACTTACAAATGCATCCATTCTCACTAGATCAACCGAGTGTTCCAGACCTTTAATGCTAAACTGACAGGTGTGTCAATGTTTAAAATAGTATGCAGAGGTATTCAATTCCGGGCCTGGGGGCCAGTATCCTACACAATTCTGTGGTTTCTCTCCTCCAACACACTTCATTCAGTGGTTGAATCACTCTGTTCTGAATTGAGACGATGTGTGTTGATCCCTGGAAAAAGCAAAGAATCCTAGAATCTTCTGATTAAACATCCAAAGACCAAGCAGGTTGATATTCTACATTTATAAAGAGCAGGCATGGGGAACCCTGGTCCTCAAAGGCCGGTATCCTGCATGTCTCAGCTCCAACACTTCTGATTCAGAGGTTGATTCACCTGTTCAGCAGCTCACCAAGCTCTGCAGAAGGCTGTTAATCACCTGCTGATTGAAACCAGGTGCGTTGAAGCAGAGTTACAACTAAAACGTGCTGGATACTGGCCCACCAGGACCAGTATATCCCTGGTTTACAGTGAAAGAACATTTTTGCATAGAGGTGTAACAATAAATATGAATATTTTTCACATTTGAGATATTTTTTGTGACAAATTAAGTCCACTGTGTAACCAATAGCACTGTTATCTTGTCAGCAATCAGCACCAATGTATCTTTCTCTAAATGAAGACTTTTCAAAAAAGCCGCCTAACTTTTACACAGAAACTTCAAAAGATGTGAACTATGCTCTTGACCTTCTGAAACGCTGATTTTTCACATGAGGAATTTGGCTTCTTACTGTGTAACATATTATTCTTTACTATTGCAATTCACTTCTTCACTTCTTTATGGTCTCCCCAACAAACTCCTTCATAAACTGCAACTGGTCCAGAATTCAGCAGCCCGTATTATCACCAGAACCCCTTCCTTTCACCACATCACCCCGGTTCTCCAGCAGCTTCACTGGCTCCCAGTTAAATTCAGGTCCATCTTCAAAATTCTCCTCCATACCTTCAAAGCAATCCACAACCTCTCTCCTCCATATATCTCAGACCTTATAAGTATTCACACCCCGTCCCGTTCACTCAGATCTTCTTCTTCCATCCATCTTGCGGTTCCTTCTGCCCATCTCGCTACCATGGGGAGCAGAGCTTTCAGCCGCTCTGCTCCTCGACTCTGGAACTCACTTCCCCCAGACATCAGGAACGTCGACAGTTTTACCCTTTTCAAAACAAAACTCAAAACACATATGTTTAAATCTGCCTACAACCTCTGATTTTATTGAACTGTTTCTCTCTTTGTTTTTTCTTCTTTGGGTTTTATTATTGTTTTATTGTATTTTATTACGTGTTTTGTGTAAAGTGACCTTGGGTGTCCTGAAAGGCGCTTTTAAATAAAATGTATTATTATTATTATTATTATTATTCTATTCTGGCATTATTCTGTTCAACTTCTGCTAATCAGTATTATTCAGTATTATTATAAATACTTTTATTTACTGCTAATTGATCAAAGCCAGTATTTGTTTCTGTTTAGGAGGTCTAAATTATGTTAAAAAGCCAGGTGAAATAGTAAAAATATCACAGGTTGACTTTTCATTCCTTTTCATTCGTTGATCACTCATACGTTTGTTCATGTTTTTCTCTCACACCTCCTTCATGCTTTGGCGTTTAAGTTCAGACTTGAGTTAAATAAAGGTTCTTGCTTATAAGCAGGCTGTTCTGAGACAAGTCTGTAACACACAAAAATCACAGTCACTTGAAAACATATGAGCAATGTAAACTGAATTTGGTCTTAAGTCAACTTATTTTGGAATAGTGTGAACAGGCGTCGGTGGCTAGAGGCTTTTGTTACTTTTGAAATCCTTTCATGTTGTAATAACGTGGTTCAAGTCCACACATTTAGTGTTCTGGCGTCAAAATAAAAACACCTTTATGTCACATTTATTGTTTAAACCTACACTTAGAAACAAGTATTTCAATACTTCAATACCTTTGAAGCTGACATTCAGTTTAACTGATGGGAGAAGTTTTAGCCAATTACTAATTTCTGATCAGCACTCAAGTACAGTTTAGACACTGATAACTCAGCTAAAACTTCATTTGAGCAAAAGTGGTAGGATAGATTATGACAATGTTTTGATGATTTTTCCAAATAGGATTAAATATAACCAAAAAAAAAAGAGTGATCCAAAGCAAGAACCCTGGTGTATCCCAAATAACAGAACAATATAGTGGCTGATACAACTTGCCATAAATTGATATATTAAGATTTTAACCCCCCTTGAAATGTTTAAAGGGTCCCAACATATTACAAAATCTATTCAGATGTTTTCCTAAATGTCAAAAATTCCAAAATGTCTCATAAGAATACAATTGTGCCAAGAAGATGTCGCTGGATGCGCAGAAGATCATTGATTTAATAAAATATATTCTATAGTAAACATGAAATGTCACATTTATGCTATATAAAGATTTTAAAACAGCAAATGCATAACCTTGTACGAAATCTCTGAGATTTGGATAGCTGTAATACATTTTGCCGCAGTAATCATACTAGTTAGTTTTTCTGTTTGATTAGATTAAATATTTGTTCAATAATTTGGAGCAGAGAGTGCATCTCTTTCCAGCTAACAATTTTGGAATAGTTTGTAAGAATGCCGACAGCGACAAGTTGGGAACCTGTCGAAAAAAATTCCAATGAGGGTTGCCATGGAAGCCAAAAAGACAAGGTGTGTGCCAAATGTAATGATTTCAATTCATTTACATAATTCATGTGGACAAAGTCATAGGGCAACATTTCAGTCAGATAAATCAAAAACATCGTGAAATTTGAGTAATAAGTCTCCTTTTTGCTTCTTTACACAGGTCCTTCTCAAAAAAATGGCACATTGTGTGAAGTTCATTATTTTCTGTAATGTACTGATAAACATTAGACTTTCATGTATATTAGATTCATTACACACAACTGAAGTAGTTCAAGCCTTTTATTGTTTCTAATATTGATGATTTTGGCATACAGCTCATGAAAACCCAAATTCCTTTCTAAAAAATTAGCATATTTCATCTGACCAATGAAAGAAAAGTGTTTTTAAAACAAAAAAAGAGTCAACCTTCAAATAATTATGTTTAGTTATGCACTCAATACTTGGTCGGGAATCCTTCTGCAGAAATGACTGCTTCTATGCAGTGTGGCATGGAAGCAATCAGCCTGTGGCACTGCTGGAGTGTTATGGAGGCCCAGGATGCTTTGATAGCGGCCTTAAGCTCATCCAGAGTGTTGGGTCTTGTGTCTCTCAACTTTCTTTTCACAACATCCCACAGATTCTCTACGGGGTTCAGGTCAGGAGAGTTGGCAGGCCAGTTGAGCACAGTAATAGCATGGTCAGTAAACCATTTACCAGTGGTTTTGGCACTGTGAGCAGGTGCCAGGTCGTGCTGAAAAATGAAATCTTCATCTCCATAAAGCTTTTCAGCAGATGGAAGCATGAAGTGCTCCAAAATCTCCTGATGGCTAGCTGCATTGACCCTGCCCTTGATAAAACACAGTGGTCCAACACCAGCAGCTGACATGGCACCCCAGACCATCACTGACTGTGGGTACTTGACACTGGACTTCAGGCATTTTGGCATTTCCCTCTGGCCATTCTTCCTCCAGACTCTGGCACCTTGATTTCCGAATGACATGCAAAATTTGCTTCTATCCGAAAAAAGTACTTTGGACCACTGAGCAACAGTCCAGTGCTGCTTCTCTGTAGACCAGGTCAGGCGCTTCTGCTGCTGTTTCTGGTTCAAAAGTGGCTTGACCTGGGGAATGTGGCACCTGTAGCCCATTTCCTGCACACGGTGGCTCTGGATGTTTCTACTACAGACTCAGTTCACTGCTTCCGCAGGTCCCCCAAGGTCTGGAATCGGTCCTTCTCCACAATCTTCCTCAGGGTCAGGTCACCTCTTCTCGTTGTGCAGCGTTTTCTGCCACACTTTTTCCTTCCCACAGACTTCCCACTGAAGTGCCTTGATACAGCACTCTGGGAACAGCCTCTTCATTCAGAAATTTCTGTGTCTTACCCTCTTGCTTGAGGGTGTCAATGATGGCCTTCTAGACAGCAGTCTTACCCATGAATGCGGTTTTGAGTAGTGAACCAGGCTGGGAGTTTTTAAAGCCTCAGGAATCTTTTGCAGGTGTTTAGAGTTAATTGATTCAGATGATTAGGTTAATAGCTCGTTTAGAGAACCTTTTCATGAAATGCAAATGAGCGGTATGCCACATTTAGAAACAATAAAATGCTTTAACTACTTCAGTTGTGTGTAATGAAATATATGAAAGTTTCAGTACATTACAGAAAATGAATTTTATCACAAAATGCTAATTTGAGGACCTGTATAATCGGACAACCTAGGGTTATCAGTCCCAGAACAAAGATGCAGTCCTTTGACAGTGAAGAGTGACACTGTAAATAGGCAAGCCTCAGTTTTAAAGCTACTAAACTTAAGGACTAGAAGCTGGTGAGAAATCACATTAAGTTGACTAATCAAGTTAGATTTTACACCTAATTGGAATCCAGATTTTAACACTGTGAATATAAGTCACAGGAGTTGACAATTCTTTAAATTGGGAATGACATTTACATTTCACACCAAGTCCTTGTGTAGCAAGCTGTGCTGAAGCTTGCTTAACAGCTTCGTTACAGGGTAGTTTACTGCCTTTACATTAATGCCCTCTGCAGGCCATTTGGTGCTTAATACCAGAATAAAGACAAGTCATTTTCAATCATTGACTCAATTGTTAACTTGGTGCTTTTATATTTAAAGCCAAGACACCTTTAAGTTTTAGTCAGAGGTACACACCTTCAGGTTTTTAGGTAAAGATTTACTTAAAGCAAAATCAAGTTAGCAATAATTGATCCATTTATTTAACAATTACAATTCACATATATACAGTTTCCACCTCACTACAAAAATAGAAATTCAGGAATATGCACAGACAGCTAAAATATTGATGCACATAAAAGTTAAGCTACACTCATCTCAAACATTTACCCCCAAAGCAAGTGAAATTTTCACACCAATTTAAAAGTAAAGACATGCCACCATTACAAAGATAGACACAAGGCTCATTCTGTTTAGAGAAGCTGAGGTGGCTGTTGAGTTGGGGCTTGAGGGTGTAGTGCCAGCAGAGGCGACTTTTGTTGTCGAGGAGGTACCCGTAGTTGTGGAGATTGGGGCCACTGTGGTGGTGGATGAAGGGGCCACTGTGGTGGTGGATGAAACTGTAGTGGTGGTAGAGGTGGTTGGGGCCTCTGTGGTGGTGGACGAAGCTGTGGCGGTGGTAGAGGTTGTTGGGGCCTCTGTGGTGGTGGTCCAAGCTGTAGTGGTGGTAGAGGTGGTTGGGGCCTCTGTGGTGGTGGTCAAAGCTGTAGTGGTGGTAGAGGTGGTTGGGGCCTCTGTGGTGGTGGTCAAAGCTGTAGTGGTGGAGGTGGTTGGGACCACTGTGGCCTGTCCATCAACTGATACTGCTGTAGCTGTGTGTTTGCAAAGAGATTTTAAGGATTGACCAAAACATAATTTTAAAAGATTTGGGGGGGAGGGGGAGGAATCATCTTTACCAGCAAGAAGAAGAATGCCCCAAATAATAGCCTGCATGGTCATCTTATTAGACGGATTACTGGAAGAGTAAGAAAACACAAAACAGTCAAAATTATGAAAATAATGTACAATGTTACTTTGATATAAACCTGATTGCAGTTTATATTTGGAAAACAGTTTTTGCAAATCCTGGGGAGAAGAAACACAAACCAAAAACTTACATGAACGCTGTCACACAGGAGGAAACACAAAGGATCACAAGACCCCAATAAAGTCAGACAATGGTTTGTAGCAACACAAGACTATTTATATAGGGAGCGTTTCTCCTGCAATGATGAACAGCTGGCTGATTGTAGATTCAGGGCAGGTGAGTGTAATCAACTAAAGCCAAAAACTGACAATGTTAGAAGAAACAGAAAAGCAGTGATGCCAACAAAACCCAAGTTAATCTCCAATAGAAGACAAATTGTGTGATTAAAAAAATAATAATAAGAGTGATTGTTGATGATAAAGATAATCAGTATGCATATGAAACTATATGTTCCCTCTATTCAAATACATCATAAAATTATATAAAATACTTACAGGTGATTTCAAAACCAATGTGTTGATCTGTGTAGCTGCTGAAGTTGTGGTGATTTCGTATTCCTGCTCCTCTTTTATAGGCAGACACACTCAGGGAATGGCTGACTGAGAACAAAGGTAGAGAGAGGTGCTGGATCTGTTGACATTTGTGGGTGTGTTTGTCATGTTTCTATATTTTTCTTCCACTAAGTCAATCACAAGTCCAGTCACAAGTGAATTGAACAGCCATTGGTTAGACAAGTTTTTTCTTTAATGACCCTTTTACATGTGTGACTGGACGATAGTAAGGTGTCTTTGGCTCATTTATAAAATGTGTAGTATGTAAGCCCCTAAGTAGAATTTAATTCATCAAATTGGCATGTTGTTTTCAGCAAATTTCATGAAAAAATGTAAATAGAGTAAATAAATGATAGAAACTTTACAAATGTACAGCCAGAAAGTCATGTACTTAAAGGTGCATTATGTAAGAATGAAGTCAGAATGACATCTTGTGGTCAAACTTGGTTACTACAGCCCATTTTCTTAAAAAGTGACTTTCTCATCATCGTTTTGTGATTTTCATGACTGTTGCCGGCAACAGCTTAGGACCAGAAGATTCTAGATGAAGAGTAAAGATGAGTCATACACAGTAAGCTGTTAAGTAGAAAAATACTTTTCACTGTAATATTCAGTTGTTGGTAACAGAAAAAAGTTGCTTAAAAAGTTGCTTAATACACTGTTAGCAATATTAACTAAACATTAGCCTTTAGCCTTCTTTACCTGACATTAGCAAAACAAAAAAATGCTGTAGCTTTTTAAGGGTACAAAAAATACCTTCTGGGTCACTTCTTTTTACCGGCTAAGGTTCTTCATAAAACACTGCTGTGTTATGCCGCTCTGAGTCGATTTACTAATGCCAACGTAGCAGCGGTTTTACAAGCGAATAATACATGGAGTCATAGGATAAAACTCTAGCTATTTTGTCCGACTAGTAAAATAATAAAGAGGTCCTTTGTTTTGTTTTTACATTCATATCTACATTTTCCAAATGTAACCAGAAAATGTCCCTTTCATGGGTTGGGCACCTTAATCAGCTCCCCCGCACTTGCTTGCTCTGCTGGGGGTGGAGTGACGGCAGCCTTTCCAAGTAGCTCTGCAACACCGGACTTTTTTCTTTTTTTTCTTTTTTTCAGACTAGGATTTTAACCTTAGTGATACAAGATGGATACTGCACTACTCAAAACTTCTGGAACCAGCTCCCTCATCTATTCGAGAGCGGAACTGCTGACACTAAGAACAAAGGGACAGGTCGGCTTGCGACATAACATCCCGGCTGAGATAAAGAGGAGCTACAGAGGCTGTAAGGCCGGAGCGAGGAAAGCGGATCACCGGAGGCGATTTAAACCATCAATCCCGACAGTGATAATGGGCAACGTGAACTCGCTGCAGAATAAAATGGACGAACTGTGTGCCCTGAATAACCTCCGACTATACCGTGAGTGCAGTCTGTTTATCTACACGGAGACGTGGCTAACTGAGCTAACGCCACAGGCTAACATAGACCTAGGCGGTTTCACATCTGTAAGAGCCGATAGGGACACGCAGGCCAGTGGGAAAAGCAGAGGTGGGGGACTCATTGTCTATGTTAACAACAGATACTGCAACCCTAGACACGTCTCTGTCAAAGTTTCGGTATGCCGTCCGGATTTGGAGCTGCTAGCTGTTAGCTTGCGGCCATATTATCTACCTCGGGAGTTCAGTCATGTGATCTGTGTGTGTGTTTACATTCCTCCGGGGGCCGACGCAGCAGCTGCCTGTGAGAAAATACACACAGTCACAGCAAGACTTCAAACACAAAACCCCGAGGCTTTCATTATTATTTCTGGAGATTTTAATCATGCCACACTGGATTCTACTCTGGCTGCTTTTCACCAGTTTGTGAATTGTCCCACAAGGAACAACAGGACAATTGACCTACTGTATGCTAATGTGAAGGATGCATACAGAGACACCCCCCTCCCCCCACTAGGGAAGTCAGACCATAACCTGGTTTATCTACAGCCACAATACATACCCCTCGTCCAAAGGCAGCCTGTTACAACACGCTCCATCAGGAAATGGACCCCAGAAAAGGAGGATGCTCTGAGAGACTGTTATGACACCACAGACTGGGATGTGCTTCTGAGCCCACATGGTGAGGACATAGAGGGGGCGACACATTGTCTGACAGATTACCTCAACTTTTGTGTGGACACAGTCGCCCCTGCTAAGACGGTACGGTGTTATCCCAATAACAAACCGTGGGTAACACGGGAAGTCAAAGCTGTCCTGAACATGAAGAAGAAGGCATTTAGGAGCAAAGTGAAGGAGGAGATGAAAGCAGCACAGCAGGAGGTGAAACGCTGCCTGAGGGAAGCAAAGGACACCTACAGGAGGAAGGTGGAGCAGAAGTTGGAGAGGAACAATATGAGAGAGGTCTGGAATGGTGTGAAAACTATAACAGGCCACAACATTAAGAAAAACACAGTGGGGGGGACTGTGGAGATGGCAAACGAACTTAACAACTTCTTCAACAGGTTTGACCAGCCCACAATCCACACACCCTCCCCCTCATTCTCACCCTCACTCTTACTACAGAGCCATCTAACCACTCTCCTACCTCCCTCGCATCCCCCCCTTCATGACACTATGACACCCCCCTTTTTCAATCATTTACCTCATAACTTCTCTCAATCATCTCCCAGTGTCACAGTGGACCAGGTCACGAGAGAATTGAGGAAACTTCGCCCCAGCAAGGCAGCAGGCCCAGATGAGGTGTGTCCCAGGATGCTTAAGGCATGTGCTACTGAACTTGGGGAGCCGCTACAACGAGTCTTCAATCTCAGCCTGCGACTGGGGAGAGTGCCCGTCCTCTGGAAGACATCCTGCATCGTTCCGGTCCCCAAAAAGAACCGGCCCAATGAGCTGAATGACTTCCGACCGGTGGCACTGACATCACATCTTATGAAGACCTTAGAGAGGCTCTTCCTCAACCTCCTCCGACCACAGGTACAACATGCCCAGGACACACTACAGTTCGCATATAAGGCGGGTGTCGGAGTGGAGGATGCCATCCTGTACCTCCTGCATAGAGCTTACTCACACCTGGATGGGGGAAAAGGATCGGTCAGGATCCTGTTTCTTGACTTTTCCAGTGCCTTTAATACAATCCAGCCTGGTCTGCTTCAGGAAAAACTGAACAGGATGGAGGTGGACCCCTGCCTGGTCGCTTGGATCACTGACTACCTCACTAACAGACCACAGTATGTCAGGCTGAAGGACATCACGTCCGGCACTGTGGTCAGCAGCACAGGAGCACCACAGGGAACTGTGCTGTCCCCACTTCTATTCACCCTGTACACCTCTGACTTCAGCTACAACTCTGAATTATGCCATATTCAGAAGTACGCAGATGATACAGCCATCATGGGGTGTATTTGGGATGATCAGGACGCGGAGTACAGAGGTCTGGTGAGAGATTTCGTCGCATGGAGTCGCTCGAATCACCTGCAACTCAACACCTTAAAGACTAAGGAACTGGTTGTGGACTTCGGGAGGTCAAGAGAGGGTCCAGTGCCGATTAAGATAGAGGGGGAGGAGGTGGAGGTAGTCACTAAGTACAAGTACCTTGGGCTGTGGATGGACAATAAACTGGACTGGTCATGCAATACAGGCCACCTGTATAAGAAAGCCCAAGGCCGACTGTACTTCCTCAGGAGGCTGAGGTCTTTTAACATCTGCAGGAAGCTCCTGAGGATGTTTTACGAGTCAGTGGTTGCTGGAGTACTTCTTTTTGCTGTGGTGTGCTGGGGGAGTGGCACAGCGAAGAAGGACACATCTAGGCTGGAGAAGCTGATCAGGAAGGCAGGCTCTGTGGTCGGCATGAAACTGGACACGTTGGTGTCAGTGGCAGAGAAAAGGACATTAAAAAAACTGCTTGACATCATGGACAATGCTGGGCATCCTCTGCACACGGCCATAAACAAACAGAAGAGTCTATTCAGTGAAAGGCTGCTTCTCCCCAAGATGAGAACTAACAGACTTAAAAACTCCTTTGTCCCACACGCCATCAGACTGTATAACTCCTCTCTGGAGGGGAGAGGGAGGAGAACCAGGAGGACAACGGAGGGGGGGACACCGAAGCTGTAGTGACTCTTCACTTCACTGTGCAATACCTCAATGCAAGTACCTTTGTTAAACAGTTAAATTGGTTTAATGGTCAACGGTGCTAAGGACGTTGATATCCGGAAGGTGCAATTCAATTGTATTTTTATATTTATTTCTATTTTTATTATTATATAATATTTTCTGACGTTCTGTAACCTCTGTCGGTGTTGCGCTGCTTTTTTTGGAAACTGAATTTCCCGAAGGAATTCACCCGAGGGATTAATAAAGTTTTTTATTATTATTATTATTATTATTATTATTATGGCTCATTTCCTCTGTGCTTGGTGGCCCCTCACTGGGTGATGTTGCGAGCCTTCTGTTGCTGAGGTGGTGTTACCTCTTACTATCTTGTGTCAGGGGCTGGGATGTTTTGGTTGTGCTGGGCTGGGTTAGCATCCCCAGCAGATTTATCTTTCCTCCTCAGGCTCAAGACCTTCCTTTGGGTTTGCTGGTTGTTGTCCATCCTCTGGGGGCTGCCAGCAGCCTGGACATGTGTGACGCCCTTGCTCTGCCACATAGGCCACATTTAAAAACCTCTTCTAGAGGCATACCCTC